CAGTTTTTGCAGTTGTTTTGCAAAGATGTTGAATAGGATGTCCTATTATAAGTATGTTTGTTTTTGGGTGTCTTTTTTTGTTTACTTTGTGTCTTGTATTCTCAGTTGTGAACACAATTGAGTCTTGTGTTCCGAGTCCCCAGGCATAACAGTGAGGTCTCCTATACCGTCACATGGGATGCTCAGATAAGTGGTTGGTTTCTTCTTAAGGATTCTCTTGGCCTGCTTGAGTAGAAGATTTATTCCCCTGAGAGGAGTGGTTCTGGATTGAGGGGGAGAAAAATCAACTTGTGAGGAATGTATTTGGGTTTGGAAACATCATGTGTCAGCCATAAAGGACTGGTTTGGCTGAACATGAAAAGAAGCAGCATGTGGCAGCTGAGTTTTTTAGTCTGGAATGGAAGTGTTTAGAGCTGGTGTGAAGTTATGTTGGTTGTGATGTCCTGAAATAAACCAGATTGTGGTTATTACCTCTTGTTAGAAGACTTTGCCATATTCTGGCTAAAAAGGGAGAGAATATGTGTTGGACTATCAAGAAGAAGTCTTATTGTTGATGTTGTGACATCATGTGAAGATAATGCATAATGAAGATTGTCAAAGATGTAAAGACTAAAAACATTGCTTCTGATGTTTTTAGGTTGCTGATGATTTGTATTGTTTAAATCTTTGCTCTTGATGTAATTTCTGATTTTTATATGCAAAGGTTATGTAAATTAGTTTTAGCCAAAATAAGCCAAAGGGGGAGATTGTTAATTCTCTGAATTATGTAATTGGCATTATGTTTGTCAAAACTAATAGAGCAACAATATGTTAGATAGGATGTATTTACTTTCTAACAGGAATAGGTTGTACAAGAAGTCCTATCTTATGTTGGGACATGTTAAGTTAAAGTGTTTCAACATCTAGAATAACATGTCAAAGAAGATGTCCTATGATGCAACATTCGACATCACGCATGTACTGAAGAGTTTATTGGGTTCTATTATGTTTTTAACAGAAGAAGAATATGCCTAGGATTCTATGTAATCATATGAGGTGCTATATTGACAGGTCAAGAAGAGAAAATATACTTTCTATATTTAGAGATAAATTAGAAAGATTTGGTTGAAGACCTATTCTTATGCAGAATTTTGTGCAGACTTGTAACAGTTGATGAGTTGTGATTGGAGGCACAAATCCAGTTGGGTTATAGGTTATAAATAGAAGCTTTGTAAGCTAGTTTTTGTACCAGCTGAAAATATAAAGATGCAATCATTAGGGTTGAGTCTTTAGCCACTCTCTAGGAGAGTTAGTGTAAGTGAACACTCAGATTGTGAGATTGTCACTGAGTTCTCCTTGAAGCTTTTAAGTAAGAGGTAGTATTGTTCTTGGAGGAAGCTTGTAAGCAACTTCAAGTATTGTTCTTAGTCAATTTAGTCTTGTCTATGTATTGTCGTGGAAGTTTGTCTTCCTGTTTATGGTGCTTGAAGTGTGATCTTCATATAGGTGAATGGTCGTCGATACATTGACTGAGACTTTTAGCTGTTAGACATCATTGCGGTGATTGGAAGTGAGTGGGGATACTCATATCTAGGAGTTCCTATGTATAAGTTGCATTGGGTAGGGATTAAGTAAAAAGTTGTAAGTGGGGGAGTTTAACTTCTAACTGATACTACTGATAATGGATTTTCTTCCTGGCTTGGTAGCCCCCATAGTAGGTGTTATTGTCACCGAACTGGGTTAACAATTGTGGTGTGTTTTTATTGCTTTTCAGTATTTATTTTTAATGTTTAAACCTTTCCTGTGTTATTTCTGTCAAACCAGATGTCGCAACATCCTCTTAGGAAATCTGAGTTCTGACCTAACAGAATTTCAATCGGGATCTACCTACCCGTAGCCAGTCACCAACCCGACTCATTAATGATTATAACCGCCACCATCCCATTTACTCCCATGTTACATGGATTTGAACACCTTCATTAAAGGTGACGATGACTGTTACACAGTTACAAAGCCCAAGGGTCACACCTTGATTGAGGCTCTTAAATGATAATAAACAAAACTATATATAGGGGCAACCGCAAGAGGGATAAGTAAGGAACTTTTCTTGCACAATACACATTATCGACGTAGCTCCGAAATCCCCTCATATACGATGATAATATACCTTTGAGGATCTCCCTATTCCTATAGGGAAGTCAACCATTTATTTTTCCTTTCAAAGAACACTTCAAAAATAGAAGAAGATTGAGATGAAGCTGATGATAAAGAGGCTTTTGGAAACTCCAAGGCTTTAAATGCTCGATTAAATGGAGTAGACAAAAATGTTTTTAGGATGATTAATACATGTACTATAACCAAGGATGCTTTGAATATTCTCAAGACAACTTATGAAGGTACCTCTAAAGTGAAGATTTCAAGATTTCAGCTTCTCACTTCTAAATTTGAGAACTTGAAGATGAATGATGAAGAGATAATTCATGAATATCAAATGAAGATTCTTGAAATTGCCAGTGCATCAAGTGCCTTGGGAGAGAAAATGTCAGAAGCAAAGCTAGTCGGTAATATTATTAGGTCCTTACCTAGGAGATTTGACATGAAGGTTACAGCTATTGAATAAGCTCAGGACATCAACAACTTGAGAGTTTATGAGCTTATTGGGTCACTTTAAACATTTGAATTTTCTATTGGTGATAAGATTGATAAAAAAGAACAAAGGCATAAATTTTGTATCCAGTGTTGAAGATGATAAAGGTCAAGTTAAGCAGAACACTGGTGAAGATCTATCTAATACCATTGTTCTACTTGGGGAGCAATTCAATAGAGTATTAAAAGTGTTGGACACAAGAGGGAGACCATATGTCAAGAACATCTCATATGACATCGGTAACAATCTTGATTCTCAAAAGAAAACAAGAACAAAAGAGAATTCAAGTCAAAGCAGAGGCATTCAATGTTTTGAATATGAAGGATATGGTCATATTAGACCTGAATGTCCCAACTTCTTCAAGAAATACCAGAAGGGTTTCACTGCATCTTGGTCTGATGATGATAAGTCATAAAATGAAGATAATTTTGAGACTACCAAACTTGTGTTGGCTCTAATGAATCAGAATCATCCCATGTTTCCATCAACCTTTCTTTTTTCCTCTATAGGCTTTTTTATGGGGGTTGTCCTTCTTGAGCCTGGGACAATCATTTTTGTAATGTCCTGGCTCATTACACTCATAGCAAGTGAGATCTTTGTTATTACCATACTTTCTTTGTTCAAACGTAGACTATGTAACACCCCAAATTTGTCCTACCCTCTCACTTTTATTTGGCTTACGCATCTCGCATTCTTCTCATGTACATAACTTCCATTAGGTCATTTAACAACACCATGCATCATTAATCAATCAAATGGGCAGGATCATTACGGTTTAAGTAAAGACTATGTGAGCTAGGGTTTAAGGTCAGAGTCATCTTGAATATTTTCTTCAAGGATCCAAGACATTGTTATTGCTCATACAATTGAGACATGGTATAAGATGCGGATTTTAATCAAGGCGTCATTCTTTCAAATTGGGTGTTTCTTGTCATGTGAATTAATATTGGGTTAAGGTTGAAGTGGATTTAAACGATTCCATGGATTCAAACTTAGCTCAATTCATGAAAGTTGTTGGAAGCATACATGGGACTTTGTGGAACTATTAAGGCATTAAAGAAGGAATTGAAGTTCAAATTTGGAAAAGAGGGAAATTGGAATTTCATATCATTAATTCGGTTTGTAAGTCACCAATTCTTTACATTACAAGTTCCATTATCAAAGATATCAAATTCCATTCAAAACCATTTTCCATTAAGATTCAGTTTTGTTTTTTTTCAAAGAAAAACTTGTCATTATCAAAGTCGCATTATACCATGAACCATTAAAAAATTCAATTGTCACATTGCTTTTTATATCGTAAAACCATTACAAGGAAAGGTAAATTACATGGAAACTCACACTACACAAAACTATTTCATCACAAAATGCACAAGAAGTTTTACAAAGCCTTACATCACAAGAAACAAAAACCATAAAGATCTAAACCAAAACCTAAGTCTTCATCAATCTTCATGCCATACCCATAAATTCTTCTTCTCCAAACTTCATGCTCCAAGTTAACCATGCCTCTTTCTGCAGCCATGTTTGAACCAAAACTAGTTGACAAAACCACGATTAATTAATCCATAAACCAGTCTTGCAAATACAGATCAATACAAAAAACATCAAACCAATACATACATATTTATCCAACCATATCAAACCTTCAAGGAAAATACAATGCTCATACAACTTAAAACCATTAATATTTAGTCCCGCGTTTTGTGAAGCAGGAGCCTATAACAACAATTTACCAAACTAACTGCCAATAACAAACCCTATGATTGTCTAAATAGATTTACACACTCTCTAATTGATTCCCATTGTATAACCGCTTCTAACCGAATTCCTTAACCATTTCCTAACCAGATTCCAACCTCTAAACAACCCTGCATACAAGAACCCCACATTAAATAGGAGAACTGATGATAACGTCCAACTAATTTTCTAACTGCATAACAATCCTACCTGTAACAGAATAATTTCTAACAAACTCAGCATAAATTTTCTAAACCCTCACCAACTGTGCAAAACAGAATTCTCCAAAACCATAATTAACCGTAACAGAACTAACTAACATCTCTAACAGTTTCACCTCTCTACTAACTTCTTTCTAACATCTCAACTAACTACCTAATTTCTGTTACACTAACAACAGATCCAATATCAGAAAAGAGAGGAGGAAGATAACATATTTGATAACAGAAAATCAGTTGAAGAAAAGCTCACCAAAAGTTTTTTAGATCACTTCTTCGGCCCTCTCTCTCTTCCATCCTCACCATTCAATCATGTAATAGAAAGTCAAATCCAAGGGCTAGGATTAACTTCTCTGTAACAAACCCCAACAAACTATATAAGTCTTTGGTCTTAAATATTCATTAAAAAAACGATTATGGACAAATCACGAGGGTATCTTCACTCTTCTTGCCTATTATCTTCTCTCTTTGAATATCCACCTTCACCTCTGAACCTCCGGCTTCAACCGTTCTCAACAAAAAAACTTAGAACCTTTCATCATCATCTTCTCCGATCTACACCTCAACCTCCGATCTACTTCATCACCCGGCATCAGCATCATCGTGGATGCACGCTACTTCCTTCATCTTTGTCTTTATATGATTCACATTAATGTGATAACAACATTACAACCGCAACAATATATATCTATTTCGCTCACTAGTACACACGCTTCGCATTAACAACCACAATTCAACACCTATCATCGGATAGGATTTCAGAGAAGAAAGGGGAAGAAGACATGTTTGCAGAAAATGAAGAAATCATAATTTGTTACGTGAAGGAACGTGAGGATATCTGACTTTCTGATAATTTCGCAGACGTCGAAGAATCTTCAGAATCGCTCTGGTAGGCAAGCCATTTTCTTCATTTTCTTGCATCAATTTGTATACCATTGTGTAGCTTGTATACCGCTGAACGAAAACCCTGACCATATGGCTTGATTCAACACAGTGTCTCGGTTCAATTTCAGACTATGTTCAATTAGGTTTTGTTTGGATTTGGAAGATTGGTTTTAGACTTGATACAAGCAAAGTTGAGATTTAAAAAGATGAGGCCGAAGGAGGGCTGTTTGTGGTGTTAGTCGATGGTCTCGGTGGGGAAGATGGATGGAAACGGTGAGTTTTGGTTGCGTCATTGTTGAACAAAGAAGAAGTTGGCTCAAAGGAGTTGAACGAACATAACATTCTAAACCTAAAAGACACTCCAAATGCGTTGTTTCTATGTGTTTCATTTTTTATCCAGTAACGAACTAAAGGAATAAGTGATGGTGATGTTGGAGTGAACCTTTCCCAGGCCCGTTTCACCACCTTTTTTGTAGCCTGGTAACATTGGTACAAAAAACAATTTCATGGACTTCATTTTGACTGGGCCTTGCGCCTATTTTTACTGCACCATACTCCCTGGACTCAAATTAGCACCCCCTGAGTTCACAAATTCTGTTAGAATTAGGACTTTTTTGTTAATATGTGTCAACAAAATACATGATAAAAATAATATAAACGACCATGAAAATAGTAGATTCTAATAGAAATTTTAGGAATTAATTCTCTAGTTTTTTTTAGAATTTTCTTTACACAAAAACTAATAAAAAATACTTTTTCTCTTTTACTTTTTTATTCGCATTTTTGTACCGCTTTGCCATGTTATATTTTGACGCGTTTGTTCATTGTGAAAGGTACATTTTTTGTGCTTTCGATCATGTAACATAACATGTAGTTATGTGATCGAAGCATACAACTTATGCTAGCTTCTGATGCAACATGCCTTATTTCTCATCGTCCTGAGAAATTTATATCATATTATATGTTGTCCGGATACATTTTATACTTTATGAGCTTTGTGCAGGAACTTCTGATTACGCGTTACATTCACAACATGCGTTTTCCTTTATCTTAGTTGGATATTATTTTTGACTTTGTTTGTTTCTTTGTGAATCTTTCTCGACGCGTACTCCTTTCTTCTCCATTGCTTTCGTCTGCTCTTGACGATTTGCTCGCTTTAGTAGTCGCCGCTACTACCTTCGTACTTCTCCGCACTTTACTACATTTATTTACCGCTTTTTTAGATATCATTAGAAGTAGGATTTTATTTCTTTCTAGATACAATGAGAAGTAGTAAATAAAGAGTGTGCACTTGAAGTCGCTGTTTAAAGACTATAGCAGGCATTACGCACTTCATTTTCTATATGTGTTATGCTTGTGTTTGTTTATTTGGTTGTTGATCGATGAGTCACTCAATTTATGAATTGAGATCACGACTTCACTCTCAGTGCATGCTCCCTATAATCGATTTCCTTTATTTCTTGTTGATCGATGAGTCGCTGAATTTAATTAATTATTTAATTAAATTCTTTTTTTTGAATATTTGTGAAGAAGTGTTATTAAATTGGATTTATTTTATTAAGTGGAGAAATAATAATATTAGAGGTATAATATTACTATTTGGTGAAATAATGTTAGAAGTTAATATTATTAATGTGGGCCTATATGGTGTGAGTGGAAGTAATAAGGGGGTGTAGGTCTTGAGTCCAATAAGGAATAATATTATAATATCAGGTTATATTATTATTTGTGAGAAAAATAGAAGGAGGAAGAAGTAAGAAGAAAATAAGGATTTGTGAAGAACGTGAAGCTGCTGGAAATAGAAGGAAACAGCAAGAACGAAGAATTTAACCTGGAAGATTGTAGAGCGACCTTCAATCCAAGGAAAGGGTGGGGTTATGACTTTATAATTGGGTTCATGACATTTTATATGTGGGGTTAGATGTAATTGTTGTTTGTTCTTGAATTAGATGTGTTATGAATGATGTATGGTGAATATTGATGAATTCTTGATGAATAATGATGTTATGATGCTGTGTAATCGATGTAGTATTATAGGTTAATGTTAAGTGATGAATTATCATGATCATGATAAGTTTTGTAGGGCTGTAATATGATTTCCCGTAGTGAAATTACAGAATAAAACGCAGAAATTATGCAGACTGTAGGAGGATGTGTCGATACATGAAGGATGATTGACTGAAGATGAGTCGATGCATGCAGGGCTTGCGTCGATACATGTTAGTTGCAAGACTCAGTATGTGTCGATGCATACAGGGCTTGCATTGATGCATGATAGTACGAGACTCAGTATGAGTCGACACGAAGAGAGGATGTGTCGATACATGAGTGTGTGAGACTCAGGATGAGTGGACCAGTGTGATGCATGTGTCGATACATGCTGCGTTTTGAAGTCGGAATGAGTCGATCCATAGGGCTCTGCGTCGACCCATGATGTAAATAAAAAGCAGGATTAGTCGATCCATAGAGTTTTGTGTCGAGCCATACTGACTAATTTTGACATAATCAATTTTAAATTGTTGTAACTTGAGTTGTAGGATGCTGTTTGAGATGTCGTTCGAAGCGTTGATTAGCCATCGCGATGAACTTTATTCTAGATGATTAAAATGATGAATAAGAAGTGTAATCCTAGTAATCAATTTAAGATTTAGAATTAATTCCCGTGATTGACAGTTATGCTAGATTTTGGACAGAATGATGAATATGAGATGTTAGAGACTGTTGTTAGAATTATGGCAGTAGGATTAGTGACAATAATGATGTACAATAGTAGAATAACAGTATGGATTACTGTAGTATTAATATACAACTGGGTTATTAGTAAGATGTGGTTATTAAAGTTGTGTTTGACAATTATGATGAACAAATGACGTTTGATAAATAAGTGATGTTTAATAAATTATTTTGAGATGTTTATGAGATGTTGTAATTGAGATGTTTTGAGATGTTTATGAGATGTTGTAATTGAGATGTTGTTGTTCTGAGATGTTTATGAGATGTTGTTGTTCTGAGATGTTTATGAGATGTTTTGTTTTGAGATGATTGAGATGTTGATATTACATTCATGAAGAGTCGCATACATTGTATTTTTGAGATGGAGCTTATGCTCGTTGAGATGGCCTGGATTGGCAAATTTTGAGATGAAGGCTATGCCTTGTTGATGCCTCTATTAATTGGCAGATTTTTGAGATGGGAGTTCTGCTCCAATGGTACCACATGCATTCGCATAGTTTTGAGTCACATTATATGATTGAATAATGAAGTGTACTTGATGTTGATGAATGAGTATATATGCTGTAATTATTGCTGATTATGAGATGAGAAGTGGTGATATTATTGATCTAATTTAATATATTAATTATCATGCGCTTTATTATATTGTTAGATATCTCACCCCTTCTGTTTGAATATTGACCTTATGTTGGTAACGTGTAGGTAATCGAGAGTGAAGGCTGTGTACCTTCAATAGTTCGAGTCAGTGTCATTACTATGATATGTAACACTCGGGGGGATGAACGCTTGCTGATTTTTTATTGTTGATTTTCAGTTGTTGACTTTTAAATTGAATTATTATTAACTACGAGATGTTTCGAAGTTGTTGTTTCATTTAGAGATGTTATTGTAGAATTCCGCTGCGTAGTTGTTGAATTATTTTATTAAAGATGCTATGTTGATGGTTCATCCGATGTTTGAAAAAGTGTTATATATCCATGATGAATGCAATGAATTTGTTAGAAGAATTTGTGACCTCCCGATTCATTTGTATGATTGAAATTTTATAACTCTGATTTATTTTGAATAATTTGCTTGGGGTAGAATTGGGGGTGTTACAATATTCACGATGGTTCAATTCTTCCTTTCTGTAATTCCATTTTGTTGTGGAGTATAGGGTGGCACCACCTCATGCACAATCCCTTCCTTTTCACATAGCCCATGGAAGTCTTTCGACACATATTCTCCACCACCATCAGTTCTCAAAACTTTGAGCTTTCGACCGCTTTGTCTTTCGACCATAGACTTAAACTTGGCAAATACTTCGATCACTTCATTTTTCTTCTTGATCAGATAAGTCCACAGATTTCGACTGAAATCATCTATGAATGTAACAAAGTATTTGTTACCTCCCATCGAATCCACATGGATTGGTCCACATACATAAGAGTATATGACTTCAAGAATAGCCTTCGATCTGCTTCCTACATCCTTGCTGAAGCTATTCTTGTGCTGCTTCGCCTGCACACATTCCTCACATACTTCGTTTGAAATGTCAATTTCAGGCAATCCTGAAACCATGTTTTTTATCTTCAAATCTCTGATGTCTCTGAAGTTGAGATGACCTACTCTATAATACCATATCCATTCATCTCTGCTAGCTGCAGTCGAAAGGCACTTGTGCTCCATCACATTTAGTTCAATTTTGAAGGTTCAATTCTGAGACATAAGAGCCTTCAAGATTAATCTCCCATTTGCATCAACGACTCTCATCATCTTATCTTTGATTGACACTTTATAATTCTTTTCGACCAACTGCCCTATACTGAGCAAATTTCTCTTCATGCCTGGTATGTACAACACATTGGAGATTACTGACCTTTTGCCATCTTTCCTCATAATCATAACATCACCAATACCTTCAGCTGCTAGGGTATTGTCATTTGCAAAGTTTACCATATTTTTCGTCGAGGGCTTTATGTTGACAAACCAGTCTTTCCTTCCAGACATATGTGATGAACATCCTGAATCCAAGTACTATTGGTCTTGAATCTATCTTCATCTCTTGTTGTGACCATCAGCATCATCTCTTCTTCTTCATGTTTTGCAAGCTTTGCATGACTTTCTTGATTCTTTCGTTTTTATGGACAATCACTCGAATAGTGACCATACTTCTGACAATTGTAACATTGAATGTGACTCTTACCAAGTTTTCGACCACCACCTCTTCCTCTATTTGCAGCACCACCTCTTTGGTTGCCTTGGTATGGTCTTCTTTGTTTCTACACGTTTCCTTTGATCTGGTTTCCTCTACCATTCAATTTGTTGTAGCCACCTCTACCTCTATCGAAACACTTTCCTTTTCCTTTGGTCTCTTTTGCTGAATGTGCCTGCAAGGCCACACCACTCTTCGATTTGCATGCAACTCTTTCGTTCATTCTTTGTTCATGGGATTCAAGCGTCACTTGAAGCTCTTCCTTGGTAAATTTCGACAAGTCTTTCCCCTCTTCTATCGCCACCACTATGTGGTCGAACTTAGGAGCTAAATATCTCAAGATCTTCGAAACAACAACTCTTGTTGTTAAAGCTTCTCCACATATCTTGATTTGATTTACTAGTTTTGTAACTCTAGTGAAGAAATCAGATATGCTTTCACAATCTTCCATCTGAAGCTGTT